AAACTGTAGTAAAGGAGAGCCACTCAAATTCTCTTCTCTGGAAGGACAATCGACTTCTTCCCATTTCCCATGGAAAAAAACAGTTTTGCATTGACTTCTCAACTCATTTCAGCATTCCTGACTCAACTCTGCAAGTGTGGTAGTTAGAATGCTCCTCTGAACTGGTTGCAACACCTTAGATGAATGTGTTTATGACAGGTCTATGTAAGAGTCATGGTCACACCACCTTTTGAGAACGGTCCTTTGATATGTTGTGACTGTGTTCTTCCACATGGCCCCACCCAACCTCAGTGTCCAGGAAGATCAGTCCCCAGTGGCCCAGGAGAACAAGTGTTGATGAGCAGCCCCGAGGTCAGCTTCAAGACCTCCTTCAGATGCCTCCGCCAGCCCCACTTATGTCCCGATGGCCATGGTGTGCTCAGCACCTGGTGGTGTCCGGCGCCGAGTCGCCCTCTGAGAAGTATTTGTTGAACAGAGAAATGGATGGCATCTTCACAGGTCTTCTTGGTCTTCTGTCCTCTGTGAACATCTCAGGACTCAAGGAACCTCCTCAGGGCCTTTGGGAGGTGGGGCAGGACCCCTGGTGGCAGGAGATGACCTCTTCCCGAGGGCAGGAATGAGATGGGGACGGTTCTGGACTCTCCCTAAGAGGCAGGGTGGGGAGAAGAAAGAGCCTGAGCTTTGGGGTCAGAAGATGTGGGTTCCAGCCCTGGCCTTGTCCCTTTGTGTCTCACAGTGGTGAGATTTTGGCAGTGTCGCCAGCCCCTTAGGGCATCATGATTGTCAGTCTTACTGTTTACTATGCCGGACCATGGTGCCTGAAACACACACTAATGTAGGTGTTGCTGCGAAGGTGTTTTGTATTTGGGGTTCACATCTAGTAGGCTGGCCGTTGGTTCAGTTGGTTAGAGCTCAGCCTTATAACACCACGCTCATGGGCTCGGATCCCCAAACTGGCCACCAACCCCCCGAAAGTGTGGGGGTTCGCTTGCAGAGTCAGCTGATGGAGAGCAGAGCAGATTTCCTTCTGCAATGTGGGTGGACCTCACCCACTCCGTTGAAGGCCGTAAGAGCAAAAACTGCGCTTTCTCAGAGGGGAAGGAATTCTGCCTGGAGCTGCTCCAGGAGCTTCTGCCTGTGTTCGGGACCGCGGCTTGCCCTGTAGGTCTCAGACGTGCCACACCATTCCTGCCCAACTGCCCGAGCCAGTTCCTTAGAGGAAATCTCTCTCCCCCTCTCTTTGTCTGTATCTGTGTGAGCCTCTGTATCTACCACGTACGTCTACGTCACCTGGCTGTAGCTGTAGCTATAGCGACAGCGACATCTCTAGTCTACCACGCCCGTCTGTCATAGACCTTTACATCCATCCTCTATGCACGTGCCATCATCTGTGTGTCTATCTGCTTGTCACCCACACGCAGCTATGATTATTGTACACATCCATCTCCTCGTTATCTACATACGTCTGTCTGTCTGTCATTATTCTATCTGTCTACCTACCATCTATGTCTCTCTATCACCTCCTCTTGGTCTGCTTTTCTGGAGAACCCTGAGTAATAATCTCTGAAAACCCCATGAAGGTCGAGTCACTGGGTGCACGTTGATTGTGACTATGAGTACGTTTTATTCAGGTGGTGGCCAACACGTTGGTGGCTGTCTCAGTCAGGTTTGCCAGGGGAGGCTGTGATAACAAACACCCCCTGGGGAGTAGATTCAGCACATCATGGGCTTATTTCTCTGTCACTCCTGTGCCTGCTGCAGCTTGCCTGAGCCTCTCCTTTCTGGGATCCAGGACAGGGGAGTGGGTGTTTTCTGGAACATGCCACCCTTGGGGCAGAGGAGCAGAGCTGCACTGGACCACGGCACGGGTGCCCACATGCTCATTTGTCTGGCTGAGGCTGGTGTCAGTGGGGTGGAGAGCAGTCCCCTCCCACAGGCAGGGTGGATCTCTTGTGGCTGTGACAATGGGGGACAGATAACTGACCATTAGGGCAAACAGGTGCTTGGAGAGTCCAGACCAGCTGCCTGAGGGCGAAGTGCCCCATTCCCTACTGTGCACATTCCCGGCTCTGTCTCTGTGCCTCTGGTGCTGTCATTTTCCACCTTCCTGACCCTCCTGAGTCCCCGGCCACCCCTCCCTCCTCCCTTACTGTCCCTTTCAAAGGCCTCTCCCCTCTGCACACATCAGAGTTGAGTTCAGTTCATGCTGGACTCTTTACTGCAACAGTGTGTCACTGTTTAAAACCTGTCCTTGCTCTTTTAACTAGTGTCTGGCTTTGTTTTTGTCTGAAAAGCCCTCTGTCCACCTCTGTCCCTCCCACCTGATCCTCATTCTGGAACCCGACATGCCTATCGTGGGCTGAATTTAACCCAGAATGGCTCATACCCCAAGACTCAGCCATACCTGATCAGTGGGGTATTTAGATGAGATTTTGGGTCATGTCTTTTGGGGATGTTGAGATGGGATGAACGCATTTTGCATGTGAGGAGGACATGAATATTTGGGGGCCACAGGCTGAACTGTTACAGGTTGAATTATGTCCCCTACAAATTCATACATTGAAGACTTAACCCTCTGGACTTCAGCACGTGATCTTATTTGGAGACAGGGTCTTTAAGGAGCTAAGTTAAAATGGGGTCACTGGGGAGGGCCCTAATCCAGTATGACCAGTGGCTTTATAAATCAATAGGGCTAGGACACAGGCAGGCACAGAGGGATGACCATGTGAGGACAGGGGGGAGACTGTCATCTGCAAGCCATGGAGAGAGGCCTCAGGAGGAACCAGCCCTGCCAGACCTTGATCTCGACCCTCAGCCTGCAGACGGTGAGCTAATGAATGTGTGTCGTTAACGCTGGCCGGTGTGTGGCCTGAGCGGACTCAGAGACCTAACACGCCTCTCAGGTCTG